TGGTTAGAAGTGGAAGCTTCTCCAAATTAGAGAATCCCGTCAGCATTAGCAATTATTATTAACAATAGAAGGCATGATAACAGTACTGGAGTGGATTATCCTTGATCAGTGTTGAAAAAGACTTATGCCTGTCGGAACTGGCTGCAAAGACATAGTAAGCATCTTTGTAGTCTAACAATGGTTTGTTAAAGAATAAACGATGGCTAAATTAATTTCTTGCAGTTACATTCTATGTTAAAAAAATATGCAATGGAGCGCAGTATCACAGCAGAGCTAGATTACAGCTACAGAAAGATGTGCTACTGTGCCTGTGTGATTCCAGTTTCAGCCGACCACTACGAAGGTCTTCTGAAGTGGGGAGCAAAAAAAAAAAAAAGTCAGCAAGGAGAGTCTTGTGACTGAAGTCTATTAAAGTGAAAGTTAGTTATATTAACCACATCTTTGCATATATTTTTAATTTTTTTATATTTACCTTCTCTATTTTTTATGACCATTTTTCCATGCAGGCAAGATGAGGAAACTCATTAAACAAACTGGCAGGTACAGTGAAATTGGCTAGGCACAAAGTCCCCTTAGTCATTCCAAAGACACTGTTTGTTGTTATTACAAGTTAAGTAAAACAGTTTCAGATAGCAGTGGGACTTCAGGGTTGACTTCGACCTCCTTCAGTTATGCAAACTGGCTGTATATAGTTCATCCAATTATTGACAAACAGGTTATTTTGTCAACACCAATGAAAAAGAAGAAATTTATTGGATATAAACTGATGATATAAATAAAATACAGCTGAGCTCTGGGGATGGCATACAGGACTTAGCTCTCTCCTGACTCAAAATTTGGAAAGGTGTGTTAACTAGGGACCTTCTTTCCCTTTGATTTATTTCTTTGATATCAGTTCATTCTGAGCAAGCTGGACCCAACTCTGTAGGTCAATTTCAAATAAGAGTTGAACAGGTGAAGTTTCATGTGTTACTTAATCTATAAAAATATTCTAATTTACTCTTAAGCATAGATACCTCAGGATTCAGAGGTCCTGATAAAGCAGTTGCTTTTTTCCCAACTTTCCTTGCTTTGAGGGAAGGAAGTCAGAAGAAAATTGCCTTTTCCTTGTTATTAGAAAGCATGAGAAGCTGTAATTTCTCAATAGATAATCCACTGGTAATGAAAAGTACAAGTATACTTGTTCAGGTGATGAGTGTCTCTGGGAGCTTTGTCTGCTTCATCTTACACAGAACCATAAGGTGCTAAATAACTATATTCCTCATGTCTCTGCTCTTTCTAGAAGTGTGTTTAGAGTAAATGGAGAAAAACAGACCTCTTAATTTGTTCACAGAATAGTTCTTGATTGATACTTTTAAACTTTGTGATGGCCCAAAAGAGAAAGAGGGCCTGAATCCCCCTTGTAACTTCTTGCCATGGATATCACACAAACAAAAATTTATAGCCCAGACAATTAAATTTACAAGGAGTGGTACTTGCGAAGAAAAAGCTGGGGGAGGAAAAACATCAATCAGATATTGCTTGACAAAGTCTTTGAATAAAACGACTTGTGTCAACAAATCTGAACTACATTTACCGTCCTGTTAGAGATTATGCCAGTTCAACGGCCAAAGGTATCAATCTTAACCCGTAACAAAGTTACTTATTAATCCAAATGCAAACCTGTACATGATAATACTTTATTACTTTCTCAATAACACATCTGCAGCCAGCAACCTAAAAACCTCTTTCTGACATAGCAATGACTGAAACCATTAACTAACCTCACATTCCTTTTTTCCCTTCAATTTATAAAGGTAAATAAGATTAACGAAAGTAGCTATGGTTACAATCACAAATACAGTCATATGAGGATATCTGGTAATGACCCAAGTCAGTCCTGAAGTCAACCCATTCACATATTTTTAGCTATTCTCTCTACTGAAATAGTGTACTCGGTAATGTGTTACTGATCACTCTCAACAAAATATCATCAAACCACTACCACATACACGTTTATTCAGTCTGCCTATCCTACAAACATGTGCATAAGGTGACAGACAGATTGCAATAAATGGCAGTAGATCATGATATTGTGTCCTGTCAGTTCTCATTTAAAAAAAAAAAACAAAAACCACACATTGCAAATACACAGAGTTATTCAGTAGAGGTAAAAGCAATCAGTCAGGAACAGCCCCTTCCCAGAGGGTCTGCAAGTGCGGACTTTATTCCACAGGTATAGAAATGACACTATTCTGAAAGTTATACAAGACAAGTCCATTTGCTGCCCTACGGTGCTTTCTGTGTTAGACTGGCAATTGTGGGACAGCTGTGAATCAGTGTGGCTAGGAAACATAACTGATTTATAAATAGGAGACTGCTACCTTCCGGAAAATCAGAGGCAACTGCTATAAGCATCTTTTATCAGTTAAAAAACACACCGCCAATCTAGTTCCACTAAGAAGCTATGGTGGCACTACAGAACTTGTATAAAAATCTAGGAGCACAAAGGAAAAATTACATAAGCTACTCTACACAATATATAGTGGACTTTTGCTTGACTACCATTATACTCTTGAAATTTGGCCTCCTTCTTTTAAGTCTAACACAGGGCTGAAAGTCTGTAGCAATAATAGCGGACTACCTAAAGATAAATCACGGTTATTTTCTAGTTTCAATTAAAAATGCTGAAAAAAAAAAATTAAAAAAATGAGAACTGACAGGACACAATATCATGATCTACTGCCATTTATTGCAATCTGTCTGTCACCTTATGCACATATTTGTAGGATAGGCAGACTGAATAAACACACATATTAGAGGAGACAGACAAGTATACACAATTCAATAAACTGGGAAAAAGACCTGCCATGATCCCATGACCCAAAATAATATAGCTTTAACAAACAACTGAAAAGAACTACATTTTGGATAAAAGCTGTTTTGAAAATGGACAATAAACTGCTGAAAAAAACCCCCACCTTAGCTACATCTACCCTGTGCTGTGATAAAATAGAAATTAAATAGACTTCTACTGTATGAAGAGAGTTACTGACTGAAAGACGTAGATCTCTAATAGCTCAGAAAGAGTAATATGTAACAATTTTTCTATTGGAAAAGCCAGTAGTACAGCTCTTTGACAAAAATAAGAGGAATTTGGGGAGTAAAGTTATTACTTAGACTCTCATTAATATACAAGATTTCAGAAACAGAATAGCAAAGCTACTAGACTTTCTGACTGAAAACGTGCACATATGATATATCCGTGAAGATAAGGACTTCTGACTCAGTTTACTAACAGCAATTGTTTACTGTTAGCTACAAATTAACTATGACATTTTTTGTTTTTCACTGTATGCAACAATGAATTACAAGCCAGAATGAAACAACCAAAAACTTAATATTATTTTTAAAGCTGTGTTAGGACAATCATGTTCATTAACTTGAAATACTAAACTAATACTTTGAAAGTAACAAAATACCTGAAAAGGCAGTATCTACTTACAAGAAAATTATGTTACATGTTGTTGCCAGAAAGGCATATTCTCCTGCCTATCTGAAGCAATTCAATCTATCAAGTCATAAAACCTACTGATTGTCTTACCATCGGCAACAAAGGTGACATAGTGAGAAAACAACATGTAGGGATTCAGAACTACATCAACAGGACAGTAGAGAAAGAGAGCAAGTCTTTTATCAGCCAAAATGGAGACTTGTCAGCTGGAGTCAATTGCGTACTAAATACAGCTTTTCATGGTACTGGTTGATGAAAAACTGGATATGAGTCAACGATGTGCACTCACAGCCCAGAAACCCAACCGTATCCTGGGCTGCATCAAACGAAGTGTGGGCAGCAGGTTGAGGGAGGTGATTCTGCCCTTCTACTCTGCTCTGGTGAGACCCCACCTGGAGTCCTGTGTCCAGCTTTGGAGTCCTCAGCACAAGAAAGACATGGACCTGTTGGATCGGGTCCAGAGGAGCGCCACAAAAATGATCAGAGGGCTGGAGCACCTCTCCTGTGAAGAAAGGCTGAGAGAGTTGGGGATGTTCAGCCTGGAGAAGAGAAGGCTCCAGGAAGACCTTATTGCAGCCTCTCAATACTTAAAAGGGACTTACAGGAAAGACAGGGACAGACTTCTAGTAGGGGTAATGGTTTTAAACTAAAAGAAGGTGGATTCAGACCAGATATAAGGAAGAATTTTTTTACAATGAGAGTGGTGAAACACTGGTCCAGGTTCCCCAGAGAGGTGGTAGATGCCCCATCCCTGGAAACATTCAAGGTCAGGTTGGACAGGGTTTTAAGCAACGTGATCTAGTTGAAGATGTCCCTGCTTATTCCAGGGAGTTGGACTAGGTGACCTTTAGAAGCAATTTCCAACCCAACCCATTCTATGATTCTATGATTTGCACCTTCCTAGGCAAAATGAAGATACTTTTAAAAACACTATGAATACAAATGTTTCACTCCAGGCTTTAACTGTGACTGTCAGCCAAAAAAAAAAAAGAAATTCTGCTCAGAAAACATGCAACTCATGTCAGAGCAAAAACAATCCATTTATTTCAACAATGCAATTGTTCATTACTAAAAAGCATGCAATTATAACACTGAACAGTCAGCGTTTGCAGCTCCTTTCTCCTGTTTCAGGACAGAAGACATATCACAGTGATGTTGAAGACAGTGAATTAGGCACACTGAAAACAAGTGGTTTCACTGCTCTCACAGATTGTGGCTATGTTCCTTCCCTTCTCATTGCTGAAAGTTTATCCTCTAATAAGTAATTCCCAAGACATCTTGCAATAGGAAGCATTCATGAATGAATGCATTAATAAATGTTTCCTATTGCAGGACCCACTGGGAATTCTTTATAATACTTGTAAGTAGTTTACAGACCTTCATTAGTTACATAAAAAAACCCAAAGTTTGCTTTTTCTGAACATACTATTCTGCCCCTTTTCAAAATATCACAGCCGACAACTAAACACTAGCATGAAACAGAGCCAATGACCCTGTATGTACTTACCATGTACCACATGCTTGGCCACTTGGGATCATTGAAATAAGTGGATTGGGTACCACCAGGTTTATAATCCCTCTTTATCCTTCTTTTAACCACCTGCTGTTGTATCCACTCCACCTGCCAACCAGGAAAACATATGGAAAGTGTTAGGGTTCCATGGAGATTATCAAGAAATGTGTGAAATCTTGGGAAGTTTCCCATTACCATAGTCCAAGACATATTTCATGTTAAAGAGTTCATTTTGGCAATGAGAATGCACAGCTCACCTTGACATACTGTTCACTCAGGAATACATCCAATTTAGTTAGTGTTACAAATCTCCCTGAACAACTACTTAAATCCACAGCTAGAAGGACTTCATTGGCTATCATCTTTTGAATGCTATTATTTTATTATTTTTCATTATTAGATTAGTCCTTCTTTCAAATTTATAAAACCAGTTACTTTTACAAAATATAACAGTATATTACAATGAGAAATTAATTAAATTTCTGACAGGGTGGGGTTTTTTTTTGTTTTGGTTTCTTTTTTTAATTTTTATTTTAAGTTTGTTCCTGAAAACAAAAACATTCAGAAAAATATTCAAACGCTTTGCTTAACCAATATCTAAATGACCTTCACCACTTGAATTGAAAAAGCAAAATTAAACTGTATGTTTATCAAAGTGACTCTTTGTAAAGATTCTTTCAGCCAGGCTCTGGAACTTTATTTTATATTAAGTTCTCCCCTTAAGTTCTCCTCGGGGAGAAACAGCCGGGTACTGAGCAACAGGTCAAATTACAACAACAATGAAAAAAAGAGCTTGAAACAGGAAAATAAATATAAGAGTTAAAAATCTAATTCCAAAAGTTATATTCTTGTCTGTCTGACACCTCTTCAAAGATTCATGATACATCCAAAAAGGGTGACACCAAAAGCGACATCAACCTTAGAGCAGACAGGGGTCTGCAGTTATTTCTGCATTAGCTATTCCAAATTGGAGCTAGTTTCTATAAATGTAAATGAAATAAACTATCCACAAGTTATATTTACACACACCTAGCTTCCTGACAGGTCATATTTCTGCTGAATTGTTTCATGGGATATAACTACAAAAATTCAATTCACCTCTCTTCAAGCAAGACAGCCATTTCCTACCAGCAGCCAGCTCTGCACCTTTTATTTGTGCTGTTTATGAACATCTGTGTATGCACACAAACATAAAAATATATAAAAGAAGTTTGCTTTCAGCTCACGTATTTCTTTGTCACTTGTCAGAGATAGTATTAATGTTTTCCCTCAGCAGGCCAATCTCTCTACTGTGCATCCACAACTCAGCTTCATATCCTTAGAAAGACATAGGTCCATTGACATTAACAGACATTTTGCTTGAGATCCATACAATGCGTACCTCTACCACCTCTACCATACCACTCTGGCATCTACTTCTTGGTCAGATGAAAATACAGGAAAACATCCCTGAATTCAGCATGAGAGGATTCCTAGGACATTCCTTATAGAGGTTGGCAAGGCTTCATGGTTTCCTTTATAAAGATGAAATTAACTTTTCCCCTTCCCAAGAATTAACTTCAGGGTCAAGAGTATTGTTCCAGAGGAGAAATTACGCAGCTTAAGAATACAGACTATCAGCTAGTGTTGACACTGAAATCCATTTCTCTGTTAAATCTTCAAGGAACAAGCATAGATCCCTGTCTGGTTCTAAGAGAACTGAGAAATTCGATAGTGTGCCTTTCTCTCCTGGTTACTGTGCTCCTCTTTCAGCTCAGCCTGAAATCCATCTTGGTGGATGCCCTCTCGAGAAGCCAAGAGCTGCTTGCCCCCTTCAGATCTTACAGGATCCAGAGGTCCCTTCAGCAGGGGCCGACAACTAATCAGTCTTAAGCTCCATTTGATGTAATAAAATGCACAGAGCATATCTGGGCAAAGGCCAAAGGTGGGAGAGCTGAATGACTCTGGTAATCACTAAGCCTTATGGCTCCTTTTAAAGTGGGATCAACAACCATCTTAACTAGATCTCTGCTCCACAAACAAGTTTGATTTATAACTGATTTATAATGAACCCTACCTCATTGTCACTTGCTGCTAATACATGCTTTCTTTTCCAGACCCTCACAACAGAATCTTGTTTTTCTTCACAGTTTCTTTCCTTGCAGGTAGTCCAGACCTCCCAACACATCTGAAGCCAACTGAGAGGCGTCCATTTGATCTCTGACTCTGCAGCTGCCTGGATTGCCATAGATCATGGACCTCTCTTCTTCTATTACTAGTATTTAGCAATCAACAACAAAGAGGCTTCAATAGGTCTGTATAAGCAACCATGGTTTTCAGGGCTTATATAGATCCACCTTCCAAGCCTTGTTACGAGATTTGGGTCTCAGTACGAGAAACATTTTCAATGGAGTGAGGGGTCTCAGGCTTGTATGATGCAGGAGTATTTACTGTTATCTTCACTCATCCTTAGCTGCAGGAATTAATCACATGAGTATGTTACCATGTTGAGAAAGTTCTTTAAGTCAACGAGTTTCAACACTGCACAGGCCAAGAGCACGCAGAACACACCATGCCATGCACGGTAACTCATTATGAAAACTCATTCATATCTTGAGTCTGCAGGGAAGAGTTACAAATGCCTACTACCAACACAATCTGAGGATGTGATAGTGATGTAAAAGTGCCCACAAAGAAAAAAAAAGATAAGATAGACTCAGCAGAAGAGAATTAAACTTTCTTCCACTGCTGCCTCTGATTTAGATACATGAACATTAATGGAAGAAGGTAGTCACCAACACTTCTGTTCCCTAGAGCAGCTGTAAATCAGAGACCCAGGGCATCTAATTTGGCAGCAAGGATTCCTGTGCACCAAGGCTCCTATAAGAACTACCATTAGCAACTGTGAGAATTTTTTGGAAAACATCTTTCTTTTCTAAATGGAGCCAGAAGATTGCAAAGTACTCCAGGAGCCTGCACAACACACAAGTTTAAGCAGAATGTCAACAACCTAATACCATTTCTATATGGATAAATGAAAATGTTTTTCCTGACAAGACAAGCTGCAAAACTCTTTACTATTCACTGTGAAAATACATTGTCTCCATTTATTTACTGCCTATTCAGCTGCAAATATCTGCTGACCATTAAAAAGACTGAAACATAAAGGCAGCATAGTACTTGTGGAGATGGATACGTACATACATCAATACCTCAAAAAACACCCATTAATTCCTTTTCTCTGTTTCCTTTATTCCAGACAACATTATCGAGAACAATTATCAGGCAGTTATTTATTCCAAGCAATCATAAACACAGTGTCAGTGCACAATTCCAGTTTATCGGTACAATAATTGGACACATAAAGAATTTTGTATATATGTGAGTATTTATGTACATGTATATATTTGCACAAGAGCTTGTATCAACTGAGTCAATCTGCAAGCATGGTAGGTGGTTAGATTTTAGTGAGGTATGGATAAATATTTTTCTCTATCTTATCTACCACCTTTTAACAAAAAAAGTAAGTGACTACTTCAGATTATGTATCTGTTACAGGGCCTGCCCCTATTACATGCTGGATGTCACCTATAATTCCTATTTCCTCAGCTCCTAGCAAAGTTAGGGAAAAAACATGAAAGAGTAATTTTGCAGAGGGGCTGTGCAGCCTGCATGATCAGACCCAAAGCCAGAAAAACAAAAATAACTTATTTTCTTCCCATAAGACCTACTGACTATTTTATGTATGCATAAAATTACTATAAGTAAAATAACTGCATTTGATTTCATACAAAAACAGAGGGGGTAAATGGCATGTTTGCCTGAGTATGTATATGGGAAGATAATGCAGGTAGTTCTCTAATGATGGAATGGAATGGAATGGAATGGAATGGAATGGAATGGAATGGAACGGAATGTTTCAGTTGGAAGGGATGTACAATGATTGCCTAGTCCAATTGCCTGACCACTTCAGGGCTGACCAAAAGTTAAAGCATATTATTAGGGCATTGTCCAACTGCTCCTTAAACACTGACAGCTGTGAGCCATTGACCACCTCTCCACGAAGCCTGTTCCAGTGTTTGACCACCCTCTCAGTAAAGAAATGGTTCCTGATGTCCAGTCTAAACCTCCTCTGGTGCAGCTTTGAACCATTCCCATGCACCCTGTTGCTGGATCCCAAGGAGAAGAGAACAGCATCTCCCTCTCCACCTCCCCTCCTCAGGAAGCTATAGAGAAGAATGAGGTCACCCCTCAGCCTCTTCTCCAAACTAGACAAACCCGGTGAAAAACATTAGGACTTATTTTTGAGTACTACAGATACCCACATCAGTGAAAGGGGGAAGTCAAAATAACCATTCCCAGTCAGTGACTGTGCACTGCTATGAGAGAGACAGTGCAGTATGCCGGACAGAGTAACCTAAAACACCACAATATGGCTGATCACAGTCCTGATTATAACCTTGTTAAAATTGTTGGAAGATTTTTAGCAAACACCTTTTGTTGAGATCTGCTAAATTTTTTTTATTCTGAGGACGTACTGATACAGCCATGTAGAATATAATTAAAAACATCACAGGAACACAATTTTCTCATCTGAGAAGTCAGTGCCTAAAATTTGGTTTACAGAAAATATCATCGCTATATAAAAAGAACAGCTTACTCCACTGAACCATAGAGGGTTTGGGGTCTTTCTCTAATAAGTGAACAGAAAAACTTGCCAGTTTAAGTTAAATTGTGCAATCACTGGGTTATATTAATGAACACAAGGTCAAGACTCAGCAGTTATTTTAGTATTCTGACATATATTTCCTTTGAGTATTTTATGGGTATTCATCCACACGTCACTGTCAAATGCCTGGTGTATCTTGGGTTTGTTTGATTCTGTATGAAAAGAGCTCATTTGTACAAAAATATTTTCTTTTAAAAAGTGTCCACACTTTCTAACCCAAAGGCCTTGAAGGAAAGTCTCTCAAGTAATTGATTATACAGATTCCCATTTCTTGCCAAAAGGAGACTCTATGCAAACAATGAGGTGCATTTTAACATTTCCATAAAGTCACACTTACTGAGGGGGAACAGTGCGCATTTTCCCATTGACTTCAGCTTCGAAAGTTCCATTTCCTGAATGT